AGCACGTGCCTGAGGTGGGCCTGTAGCCTGGCTCCATAGATGAGCAGCTCATTTTGCCCGTGGAAGCTACTGGTGGCTTTCAAGAGTGGAAAACCTAAATTCTAGTCCACCAGTTGCCCGAACAGGGTGGTGTTGCCTAAGGCAGGAGTGAGGGATTTGCACCTCTCAGATGTTGTTGGACTCCAGCTCCCATCAGCTCCAGCCAGCATGGCCAAGGGTAAGAGTCGATGGGGATCCAGTCCAACAGCCTCTGGAAGGACACCTGTCCTGCCCACCATGTTTGGCCCAAGGCTTCTGAATCAAGGAGAAGCATGGGCTTGTGTGTGTTGATGGCCCAGGGTTCAGGTTCTGGCACCTCTAAGCTTCCAAGATTGCAAGCAGAGAAGCAGCTAAGACCTAGGGAAGGGGACAGTGGTGAGAACAGGCTATGTGGGGCTGAAGTGACCGGTAGAGTGGGCCAATTTAAGGCAGTGGTGCCTGAAGGTTTACAGTTTCTTTCTACCTTTCCTTGAAAAAGTCAGGAAGAAATTTTTCCAATCATGATTGATATTGTCTAGCTTTTGAGCTCATTTTTCTCTAATACCTGGTCTTTTGCTAAGTCAGCTGCTTCATCACCAGGTAGGTCAACAACAACCAGTTGCTGTGTCATTGCAGGAAAAAATCTGGAATACAAGTGTGGATCACAGGCAGGAAAAAGCAGCAGTGGCTCCTGGGGCCTCAGAACAACCCCAGCACACTTTCCCTCTCAAAGTACCCCGAACACGCCCCCTTGCTCTCTTGCCCACACAGAGCCGCAAAAATATTGTCAGTGCAGCGTTTGCTGGGCTCCGTTGCTTCACCCTAAATCTAACAGTGAGGGATGCTTTAGTCATATAACCTAATAATTCAAAGAAAACAAAACTCCCCACACTTATAAAAACAACATATCGGGATAAAGGCAAAAGTCTAATATGCAACAACGCAAAAGCCATTTCCATTGTCATTCAACAGTTTCCAAAGGCTGCTTTTCAGAGGTGAAGCCCTGACCCTGTTTTCATTGTGCTTCTAAGTGCTTTGCAGAGCAGAACTGCTTGGATGAACCTAATGTAGGTCTCTGGTGGGAAAAGCGAGGCGCTGCATCCCAGTGGAAGCACTGCACACGGACAGAGGGGGATCGAACCTTTCTTCCCACTGTTCGCTTCCTTGACTCCCCCTGTGAGGGTAAGAACAGTGGAGAAAGTGCCTTCATGGATGTGCCCATGTACAAGAGAGACAAAAAACCTCACCTTCAGCTCCGTGTCTAACAATGAACACCATGGTAGTTTGGCTCTTAGAGGAATGGGCCCGAATGAGAAACCATGACGGCGATGCCAGGATCTGTCTATTGCTTTAGTCTGCAAGTAGGAAGTGCATTGAGAAGAGTCCTGGCCTGTAGTAACAGCAACCCTAACTAACCTCACAGAAAGATAACCAGCCAAAGAAATTAATGATGTGTGGAAATTGTATTGCACACAACTTCTTTTTAATGGGGATAATATCAGTGGAAAATGCAGGTGAAAAGGGGAAAACCCTTGGTGTTTCTTTGCAATTTTGACTTGTACCCTTATTTGTTGTTTTGCCTGTCTTCTTTTTAAACATCATCATCATCGTGGAAAAGTTTAAAAAGCTATTTTAAAAATGGAAAATAGAGAGGGGGGAGTGAGAAGAGGCCTATCCATGTCTTTTAGTCATGCTAGGAGACTTCAGAATTCCTCGGAGCAGTAGATGCTGAGGTCAGACATCCATGCCTTGATGAGAAGCTTCTCAATGGACTGGTTGGCATCTGATCAAGCCAGAATGCCGGAACAGATGGGCTTTTGGTTTGATCCACCAGGGTTCTGCTTATGGGAGACTTAGATCAGCTACTCCATCATAGGAACACAACTTCAAGCCATTCTTGTGATGATAACGTTTCCATTGGGGTATCTTTTCATAACTCATAGACATCTGTTGAGCTGCGTTTGCAATTCTTGGTGTATTTGATTGCCTCATGAATAGACAACACAACGTACTTTAGGCATAAATCAAAGGGCCTGGGTCCACCTAGGGGGAGTTTTTACTTCTGCCTTGTGAATGGCAAAACTTTATGCTGTATTGCAAACTGTGTTTGAATGCTTGAAATGTGTCTCCATAATCCTCCAAGGGGATTTCTTTGCAGTCTGAGTGTCTGCTCCTCTTCAAAACATACCATTGCAAAGTGGAACTCTGGGCAGGTTCTTTTGGATCCAGAGCATGGATGGCGACATGCCTTCTCAGTGCTATAATTTTACACTGACTGGTAGGTACAGTATCAACAAAGGGTACTGTGGCCTGCCAAATACGACATATATAATACTACGTATATAATCTATTGTACATAGATTATAAATTAGATAAAATTATAATAAAGTGTGTGTTTGTGTGTGTGTGTGTGTGTGTGCATGAGAGAGAAGCTTTGGAAGCCTAATGACTGTTTCTGCAGTTTTGCATATACATTTATAAAATAATGTATCACTTTTAATTTGTGTGTGTGAGTGTGTACATAACAGGGATTTGGTGGCGCAGTGGGTTAAACCGCTGAGCTGCAGGCTGATTGATCGAAAGGTCGACAGTTTGAATCTGCGGATGGGGTGAGCTCCTGCCAGCCTCGCAGTTCGAAAGCATGCAAATGCAAGTAGATGAAAAGGTACCACTCCGGTGGGCAGGGAACAGTGTTCTGTGCACTTCGGTGTTTAGTCATGCCGGCCACATGATCATGGAGACTGTCTGGGGTCAAACACTGGCTCCCTCTGCTAGGAAACGGAGATGAGCACCACCCCCTAGAGACAGGCATGACTGGACTTTAATGTCATGGAGAAATCTTTACCTTTTTATGTGTACATAAAAATACAAACACTCATATCACTGCTTCCTCTGGGGGACCTCAGGTGGCTAATGAAAACAATAATACATTTAACAATGACAAACATCCTTCTGATTTAACACATTACTGAGTGGAGTTAGATCAGATCTACTCATACTACGAGCGAACTAACTGCAATCCGGGGGCTCAGTCATAACAGATCAGAGTTGTGTTGCTCAGTGCACTTGGAATATGGCTCAGTCTGGATCCAATCCCTGATTTTCAGTAAGGGCTGGAGAGTCCTTGGCCTACAAGGCAAGTTCGGAGTCCTGGGGTGCCTCTCCGGGGTTCCTCTGAGGGCCCCGTCCCCTTTCCTCAGCTACAGAGTGTTTGGGGGTTTCCTGGCTTTCGCACAGCATTTTCAGGCCAGCTTGGACATCTAATTGGGATGGTTTGGAGGGGGAGGGAAGGAGGCTGGCCATGGTCTCCTCTCCTCCCTGCCCCCAGAATGCCTGCCTTTGTCATGAGCTGGTCCTTTCCCTCCTTCCTCAGGTTCCAGAACTCCAGAGCATCCTCTGGAATGCAGTGACTCCACAGCGGGCAGAACAGATTCACTTCTGCCAGAGCTGGAAAGAGAAGCCTCTGCTCATGTCAAGAGCTGAATCCAAACTGGAAATTTCCCATGGGCTCTCCCTCCCAGCCAGGCGGCTGGCTCCACCCTCAGGGGTTCTCACCACCAGAGAGCAAGATGGCGAGTGTGACGGAGCCCTCCAGCTGAGCAGCTTACTCCTCCCAGTGCCCACTGACTGGGTCAAGGCCCGGTCCTGTACCTGCTCTGCCTCCTCTCCTGCAAAGCCCGCTGTCTCTTCCAGCGCAGAGGAACTCCCACGCTTGGTGTGAGAAACCGCATTGGGTTGCCTTGAGGGAGCCTCAAAGGGCTCGGCCCCCACTTGCTCCTGCCCCCGCTCCACTGCAGACGCCCACCACGCAGCCCTGAGCGAGAGACTAGGGCCTTTGTCCACGGTCTTTAGACATCCTCAGAGAAGCAGCTTGCCCGTGCCTTTCCACACTGGCTGTGGCAGCAGGAGAGGACTGAAGCCTGAATCCGCAGTGCTGAACTTGGACTTTTGTCTCTTGCCCCCAGGGATCCTAGGATCACTCGGCCCAGGACTTCTTTGGCAGCTGAACTTTCTCCTATGGTTTCTAGAGATTAATGGGGATCTGTTCTAACAATGAGAAAACATCACTTGCGCATTCTGAAGAACAATGTCTTGGAAATTACCTCTACCAAGAGGAGCTAATTGCTGCATCTCATTTTACCTCCCGTTGTATTTTAGTTTGCTCTCTTGCTTCTTGTAGCTAAAGTGCATGTAAACAATATAATTGAACAGATTAAAAATCAACAGCCTATTTCTATGCACAAGCACCTTTGGTTGGTTGGTTTGCTGCTGCAGTTGGAAACAGTAGCTCGGGATGTAGCAGCTGAAGGAGTATCTAGCTTTGTGCAGGGGACAATAACACCATCACTTGATAACGAGGGCCTGCCTTACTTGGCAATGACAGTGGAGGACAAGGGTGCAACTGATCTGTTTCCAAAGTCCCGTGGGCAAAATTGCTGCTCACAACATGAAGTAGAGAAGCCATGGAGGCATGGAGGAGTATGTTGGTCTCAGAACCGGGAGCAGAGCATTCAAGTAGTTGCTTTTGGCAACTGGTTCCTGGCCAGCACTGCTTTCTATGACGAATGATGTTCCCCAGGCTAAATTGGTATCAATGAAAGATGAGAGCTGTGGAGCAGGGCTGTGTGCCAGGACCTCTCCCATCCAAGTCCAACACCCTGGATCCAGCTCCACTGGCTTTCACTGCAATGCGCCTCGTCATCGGTACCTTGCCGTTTTATCCAGAATGCAGCACCCGCATCTGGAATGGCCTCTCATCAATAGCTTATTAGGATATCGAGACTATGCACTCTCTCTTGGTTCACACAGATCTGTTGGATGCCCCTTATGCGCCCTACCTGAGATCTCTCTTATGGATAATGTGATCCGTTAAACTGGGTGGGGTGTCCTCTCTGTGACAGATCGATTATACTGAAAGGATGTTTGGCATAGCCATTGCTCTAAAATTAAATGGAAAGTTGACAGAAACATGTCAAGTCTTTTTAGTATTACTGTGTACTTTTCTTCTCTTTGTTTAGTTCACAATTATGCATTGCGGTTTTATGGACTGAGTTCTTCTTCCGGCACCATTAGGTGTTTGTACACAACTGTGCATGTGTGAGAAAAGAGAACTTAAGAAGAACAGATTAGGGAGAATTCACTTGTAGATTTGTCTAAGTGGGCTGAGCTTGTGGCAGTTTAAGAGAAGAACTGTACATCGTATAAAATATGTTCAAACAATGGATGTTTTCCTTGAGGGATACTTTTATTATCTGATGTTCTATTTTTACTCAACGATGTTTATGTTGCCTGCAGCACCCAGTTGCCTCGTAGCTCAAAGGACCTCACGCAGGATGCCAGTAACAGTGTTTTCCTGTAGAAAGATGACATTTATCTCAAAGAGCTGAAGAATAATTATTAGAGGAACGAGTCATCTGGGGAAAATATTGCATTCGTTTCTATCCAGTGGATGTAACAAACTATAATCTGTACGAAGGGAACTCAGTCTGCTACATGAGAGCTTCATTTGTGCTCCAAATACCCTCGTCTATTTACCATGATACTCAGCTGAGAAATGTGGACTCAGAGAGGCATAATATTTAAACTGCAAAGGATGCCAGCTACAGATTGGCTGATACCTTCCTTTTGTGATGCTACACACAGCCTCCCTTCAGGGGCAGCTAACCTAATCTTGGGGAAATGGCTTCCCACTCAGTGAATGGTTTGGTGGGCACAGAGCTCTAGTGTACCCACCAGGACTGTTGGTCCACATGTGAAGCCTGTATTGAAAATAACTATGAAAGCTGGAATATGATCCAGCCACCATATGTTTCCTCTTGAACTATTGATGGCTGAATTCCAGCTTTATTTATTTATTTTTGGATAAGGTTAACAAATGCCATCTCAGCTATTGGATGAAGCTGGGGCCTCACAGATGTCTCACTGTATACATGATTGCCCAGTGTAGTAATGGGTAAGTGGTTAGCAGGCTGCTTCTAGGGTTGGCTCAAGATATTTTGTTCCCTAATCCAAAGAACAAGATGGTGGACCACTCATTTTCCATGAGGTGCCTGGAAGGGCCTGTGGATTATTGATCCTCAAGGCAGCAGGATCCCTTAGGTCATCCTTGGTGGGTCCCGTGGACTGTCCTCTCTTTTCCATCACCTCGCTACCACCTAATGCCACCTAAACTGCCTCACTTTGCCTAATGGTAGAGTCAACTCTGCCTGCTTCCTTTTATGTACAGTTGGATGGGGATTATTATTTCTCACATCTAAGATAATTCACTGGATACTTTGGTTACAATAGGACCTGGATGTTGCAATGTTAGGCATTTGTGACCACAAGGCAGGGGAATACTGGCCTTTTAAGAGCATCTCACTCATGCACGCTTCTCATGCATTCTGAGACACATGTGGGTAGGATTCCTGGTTGCAACAGCCCTGAAGAAGCACAACTAACAAATAACTCAGGTCATGTTGTACAGATACTCTGGTTGACTGAGGATGATTGTCATATTATTATGTAAAAGCACAGGATGACTCCCAGGAGTTGTTCCCTTTTCTGAGAAATGCTGAAAATGTATTGCTTGCAGGGAGTAGTCCAAATTCCTGGCTTTCTGCCAGACTTGGAAACTATCAAATCATAATTTAGTTTGCAGAGCTGCTTGAAGGCCAGACTCAAACATATACTCTTCTTGTACTGGCTGGATAGTTACCACGAACAGGCTTCTGTATTTTCCCAGCCCCATAATCTGACCACTGAAAGGTATGTTCATTCCCCAAGTCCAGTATGTGGCGTGGAGGACCAGGAATGTAGCACCTGCCCTTCTTGATGGACCGAGATACCGAGGTCAATAGCCGCTCCTTCAGAAGTGCTTCGGCACAGGCCTTCGCTTCCAGGGAGGGGTGCTAGCTGAAAGTCCCTGTGCCAAAAGCCCCACAACATGCCCCTCCCTCCATGAAAAAGGTCTTCAAAAATCCTCCCGTGTCCAGGCTCTTCTTGGACTATCCGTTTTGCCTCCCGCTTCCACTTCTCGTTTACTATTGTGTGAACTGCTCTTTCTCCGTGCCGCTCTTCCCCCCCTGTTTGACTGGGGATATTAAGGCGAATATTTTATGGCCTTGTTCTATTTTACTAGTTGTATCCCAGGGCAGGATTATTTTATCATGAAAAGTTGGTAATAAATATCATAATTAAAAATAAATAAATAAAATAGAAGGAAGGGGGAAGGTAATAGAAACATTAATCTAAGACTGTTAGGTGACAGATGAAAACTACCTCTTGCACAGCTCAATAAATAGACAAATAAAACAAGTCCAGCCACTTCTTTCTATGCAGTGTGGGGGAAAGTGGTGGAGCTGCTATTGTAGTATAATGGTTAAGAGTGTGGGACTGGGGCTCGGGACTGGGGCTTCTGACTCTAGTCCCCACTCAGTCATGGAGCTCACCGGGTGATTCTGGGCCAGTCACAGACTCTCCGCCCAATCTTCCTCCCAGGACTGTTGCTGTGAGGATAAGACTGAGAGGAGGAGGAGGAGAATTCTGTAAGATTCCTCAAATTCCTCGAAAGGAAAACAGTGGGATATAAATATTATAATTTATTTTAAAAATTGTAGCTGGCAGTGTCAGACCAGAAGTTAAGTGGGCTTCTACATACATTGAATCAAGAAGCCTAGAAACTGTACAGTAGATGTGAAGTGTGTTTATTCTTGCTATATGCCATCAACTCACCTCTGACTTATGATGGCCTTATGAATAAAAACCTTCCAAGCCCCCCTGACAGCCTCTTTCCACACTTCCAAGTCCAGGGCTGTGGCTTCTTTTCTGGAATCAACCCACTTCGTATTTGGTCTTCCTTTTCTTCCTCTGCCCTCAACTTTCCCTAGCATGATCATCTTCTCCAAGGAGTTTTGGCTTCACAGAAAGACAGCCTCAGTTTTGGCATTTTTGCCTGCAGTATCCCCCATGTTCTTTAACATCTACATTCTGGGAGAGGTCATCCAGAGGTCTGGATTGAAGTATCATCAGTATGCCTCTCCTTTTCATCTAATCCAGCTGAGGAGGTGACAGCTCTGAACTAGTGCCTGGGCAGAGTGAGGAACTGGATGAAGGTCAAAAAATTAAACTTCAATCCAGATAAGAAGAAGGTGCTGTTGGTAGGTGGGTCATCTGTCCAGGTGAGTGGTTTCACCCTGTGCAGTACAGGGTTGCACCTCCCTGTGGGGCAGTTTGCATACCTTAGGAGTACTCCTTGACCCGGAGCTATCCTTGGAGTTCCAGATGACTGCTGTGGCAAGGAGCAATTCCACCAGCTTTGGCTGGTCCATCAACTACGTCCTTACCTGGACAGTCAGAGCCTAGCAACAGTAATCCATGCTGTGGTAACCTCACACTTGGATCATTGTAACTTGCTCTGCATGGGGCTATCCTTGAAAATGGTCCAGGTGCTTTAACTGGTACAGAATAGAACATCTAGGTTGCTGATGAGGACTGGATCGCATAAAGTCAGTCTTTTACTACCTTGATGGGTGACCAATTGAAGTCCAGGCCCAATTTAAGGTGTTAACATTTACATATAAAGCCCTAAACAATTTAGGGCTTAGATATTCAAAGGAATGTCTCCTTTGTACACCAGCCAGTACCCTAAGATCATCTGCTGGGGTCCTTCCCCGAGACCCTCCTTGAAAGAAGCTGGAAGAGTTGCTACCAGAAGAACACCTTTTCAGAAGTAGCATCTTGATTGTGGAATCTGCTCCCCAGAGAGGTATAAGTATTTATTTATTTATTTTTCTATTTATATCCTGCCTTTTTCCTACAAAGGGCTCAAGGCAGCTTACATCATCTCTCCTCCTCCATCTTCTCCCCACAACAACCACCCTGTGAGGTAGGTTGGGCTGAGAGTCTGTGACTGGCCCAAAGTCACCCAGCTGGCTCCATGGCTGAGCGGGGACTCGAACCCAGGTTGTCTGAGTCCTAGTCCCACGCTCTTCACCACTGCACCACACTGGCAGTATATAAATATTTTAAATAAATAAATAAATAAATAATAGTTGCTCGAGTGTTTGTTAGTGTGAAGAGTCATTCTTCGCTTTAGCTAATGATTGTATCCAGCGCAGAATCCGAACGGCCCATGATGGTTGCAAAGCAGCTGCCTCAATGCCTTCTTTCCAGAGCTGATGCTCACCTCAAGCATGTTCAGGCTGCACAGGCTGGGAGTCGGGGATGCAAAGCTGCGCTCGGATTGGGAATAGTTTTACCTAATGTGCAGTGATACTTTGAAGTGCAAAGTAACACTGGAATTCAGTGTTTTCTTAAGGAGGCAAAGGGGGATCATTTCTGGTTAGGGAGTTATTGGGACTTGCTGATTCAGGAACAAGAAGAGGGACTATCATTCAATTCTGTCTCTAGACCAAGAATGCAAACCATCTAAAATTCGGACCAAGCTCCCGAAGTCGATTGCAGCCAGCCTTGGCAACTTCCAATTTCACGTGGTCTTTTTCTCCCCACTAGGATCCAAAACTGGTGCCAGAACAAAACTGGCAAACACTTCTGTGAATAAAAATATTCTCTTCAGTATGTACATTTTTAATTCTTGTCCTTGTTTCTGCTAAAACCATCCATACTCCCTAAATTATACAATCCTAGAAATGTCATGGAATGAAACGTGTTTCAATCATTGCTTCTGATGGATGACAAGGTGCAAAAAATCAATTGAAAACTCATATTCTCTCTTAAGTAAAAGCACTTTCACTCGAACGGGCATTACTCCTGCCACGATGGGGTTGTCACAAACGCTTATCATGATCAGCATGTATGAATCTCACACTGGACTCCCACCACCTCTGGGTTTTGTTGTTGTTGTTTTAAATAGTACAGACATGGGATTTGCTGCTATGAAATGTGTGGTGGCCACGAGGCAGGATTTTTTTTAATGTATTCAACATTTGGGATTATAGCTTTGTGAAAGTCTACTAACAGTCTTTCCCAGATGTCCCCAGACGTTGTGGATCATAACCAGCATGGCCAGTGGTCAGGAATGGCGAGAGGGTGCCAGGTTATGGAAGCCTGGTGTATCAGCTAGCAACTATACCATCTAAATCAGGGGTCCTCAAACTTTTTCAACAGGGGGCCAGTTGAAAGGCGCCAGTGGCAGGCGCGAGGGGGTGGGGGTGGCAGGTGGGTGCGTGTGGTGAGGCAAGGCTGGGCAGGGGTGGGTGCGCGCAGCAAGGCAGCACGAGGCGTGCATGGCAAAGCAGCGGCTTGCTTGCTCAGAGATTGTTTTCTCCGAGCGAGTCCAAAAAGATCTCCATGTGAGCAAGCTGCTGCTGGGCGCCCAGCCGACGAGGCGGGTGGCGGTGAGTCCAAAACCTCTGAGGTGGGCCGAATCCGGCCCACAGGCCGTAGTTTGAGGACCCATGACCTCAATGAGTAGAGTCCCACCTACAGGGTCTTGCAAGAAGAAATGCTTGGCAGCACCTATAAGAATCTGGACAAAAAGGATGGATTTGGTGAACTTGGGTTTGATGCAGCAAGACGGTTTTTGCTGCCCACCCGTTCAGGGAGGATCACATTTACACAGTGGGGTTGCTTTGTCTTGCTTTGTTTTCTGTCATGCCCCTGCTAAGCAGCAAGGAAGGCCACACACGCAGGCTTCCCAGAAGCATCCCGGGTTGCCCCGGACAGGTGTTCTTAAACACACATTATGATGAAATGTTCCATGTGATCCACACTGGGGCTGTCAGGAGGGGGGTGGAGACGTATTCCACAGGTCTTGCACATGGGATGTGTCAGACATGCCTTAGGATGTGGGAGATGCTCAGGGCCATTCCTTGCCCCCGTGGAGCTGGGTGTTTTGACAATGTGAAAGATAAACAGCAGCATACCACCACCTTGCACTTAGGGATACGTGAGGCGAGTTCCATGTGTATATAATAGATATGTCTAAGTCCATTTCTGCATGTGTACATATAATATGTGTGCATATTTCCAGTTCAAGTAAGCTTTTCTTTCTTTTGGAGGAGAAAAATGACACAAATAGGAAACTGGGTGGGAATCCTCCCCTGACAGGCTTAATGGGGCCGAAGAATTTTCTCTTGTGCTAAGGAGGTGACTTTCCTCCAAGGTTAGTCGAGCAGAAGCTGGGCTGTCTATGAGGCTTTGGTGGCAATTCAGCTGCAGGAAGGCAGATGATATGTCTCAAGAATTGATTCTTTTGTGCTTCTGTTTCTCTAAATGCTGATGCAGGGAGGGAGGGAGTGTGGTAGAGCGACTAACAGGGCCACCTTCTAACCATGCTGCATATTTCAGCAAGGGCTTGTCCAGCACTTGGCTTTTGGGAAGGACATTCTTCCAATGCTAGCAGGCTTCAGTATGAAAAAAGAAAGTCTTAAACAGGTTTCAATCTTCTCCTAAGGCCCTGCACCTTTCCTTCTGAAACTCTGCAGATTTCTTGTCTGGAGGGGCCGCTATCACATGCCCTGTTTCATTCAAATTGCCTCCAAGCCCCCTGTGAGCGGGAAGCTAATTACTAAACCTCCCCCTGCATGTGGGGAGTCACCTTCCACATAGACCTACAGTTCTGAATCTTTGCGGTTCTCTTACGTAGGGAAACCTCCATGCTGTCTGCCAGCTTAGAAGAATATTCAGCTTAAGAACATAGCAGGAAAATTGTGTCCCCCTTCCCCTTTCCCCTTTTTCTCTTCCTCTCCCTCTTGAGGAGGGATACAATCAAAATGTAAAGACTGTTCTTGTGCAAATTGACCTAAGCAGAGTCAGACCATTTTCTAAAGGAACAAATAGGAGTTCAGGGCAAATCTTGTGACTGGTGCATAGCTTGCATTGATACATCACGCAGAAGTTACAGTCTGTGTCTCTTTCTGGCTGTTTATGGACTTGAGATGAGCTCTGAATGCAATTTCAACATTCCTCCCTCCCTCCCTTGCTTCAACACTTTAAAAACAATGCTTTCCAAGGTATTTTTATTTTGACACATTAAAAATGGGAAAAATATTCAAGGGACTCCCTGGGGAGTGCGGTTTCAGCAACAGAAACAATTGTCTGAATCTATTAACAGGAAATCTTGGCGTATCCTCAGAAATACAGGATGAAACTTGAATTGTCTGGAAAGAAAAAGAAAGCTTGTTGAGCCTCGCAGTCCACACCTGTAATAAGGATAATTATGGCGCCTGCTGTACACTGCTGGTCATTACCATAGCAACAGACAATGTTTCATTACATCACCGACAGCATGCAAAGAAACATGCATTAGAAGAGTAGCACTTTGGTGGGACATTGTGCAAGGCTGTGATGGGGAAGGGGGAATGAAGATGTACGCAATTGTGAATGTAAGCATTTGGGCATCCCGTGGCAGGGGTACGGCCAAGCAGCAAATACGAGGACAATAGAGCTGAGGAGCACAGCAGAATTTTAAAGTCACCCAAACTACCAGTTGTTGTGTGTGTAGCACTGTGCAGGGTGAGGATGCTTCCTCCTGCCCGACTGTTAAAGTAAATTGGAATGAGGTGTTAAGAGAGGAGGCAGCCCCCAAAATGTCAGCCTTGCATTAAGCTCTTCCCCTTTCCCCCAGTCAGATACAGTTGAACGCCACCTCCCGATACCATTACGTTAGATATTTCCTTAATTGTACCCGTGGGAGTCGGTGATGGAGGCTTGAGGAAGTGTCGGTAGAAATAAAAGGATGACATCAGCATAGAAAGTCACTTGTACTAAATGAGACAAGAGGGGGTGAATTCACCATTGGACTGCTTTTTGGGTCCTTCAATATTGGGGAGGAGGACCTGGGAAGGTGAGACGTTGGCACCTTTCAGCAACTCAGGGAAGAAGAAGCAAATCATGAGAACGTTGAGAGATTTCCTGGTTTCTGCTGGTAGGCAAAGCCCAAGGGTTGAGCTACAGAGTGCTCATCAAGCAGCTGGTCATGCAAGCTTCTGGGTCATGTTGAGAAGAAATTGGCCACTCTCTTGCACCTGATGTATAGGAAAGTATGAGAATGGCAAGATTCTCACCACAACATGTCAAGTCCATACAGGTTAGCCACTTACAGTGCCACAGACGTGAGTTCACAAGAGCTGAACAGGGCTGTGAAGGACAGCACATTGTGGAGAGCATTCATTCATGGGGTTGCCATGAGCTGGAAACAACTTTGCAATATGGAACGACCACAAAATTTGCCCACAATCATGCATATTCAATGTTATTTGCACTAATATAGAACTGTCAGCTGTGCCATCCCCTGCTGTACACAGTTTTGTATAGATGTTTCAGTTGAAAAACTCCAGTGCGAAGTTTGAAGAAAAGCAAATTTAGAAAGAGAATAGAGCTTTGGTTTGCAACCATAGTTTGCAAAAGCAAAATTAGAACTGAGAAACCTTTCCCTGCCATCCCTAGCAAAAGTGCACAACATTGTGATATCGCCACATACATATTTTTATCGCTACACAGTCTGGTCAGAGTTCTGATGGACTCAGGTTTAAGGCTGGCTACCAACTCAGGCCTTAACCTTTTCTAGTTATATGGAATGAGTGGAAACATTCTGGGGAAAAAGAGAAAATGTTCTGGCTACATAGAAAAACCTTGATGTTGTGTTGTTGTTACGTGGGTTTTTAAAAATGCTTTTACGTTCTGTTTGTGGGCTTCCCAAAGGGATCTGGTTGGTTCTGTGGGAAACAGGATGTCTGTCTGTTCTAGCAGGGACCCCATTACAGACGTAAATCTAATATCCACCCTATAGAACACTTAATATTTATTTATTTAAAACATTTTTATGCTGCCCCCATCGCAACGAAGCCTTGGGGCGGCTCATAACAGAAACACAATACATAAATAATAACAATATAACAATAAAAAAATTATTTAAAAACCCCCGGTGCATCTCGGCTAAAAATTTAAAATCCTATAAATACAAATAATTTAACAATTAAAATAAGTTTTAAATAAAAAGGTCTTAGCCTGGTGCCGAAAAACAAATAATGACGGCGCCAGGCGGACCTCTCTGGGGAGCGCATTCCCTTGCAGTGTTGAGGGCCCATTCACTTTCTCTCTCACCCTCCCCGTCTCTTTTTATAAATATGTTTATCTGGCATGCTGACAATTTTTTTCACAAACTCATCTTATATTCACACTTAACTAACAAATTTATGGACTGTCTGGTGTTTCATTCCTGTATTTCCCACTCTTTCCAGATGACCTCTGTATGGCAGAGGAAGAGTGAAAAACAAGATTTTGGCTTAGTTATTAGGGACAATGGCGCATCTCACATACCTCAAAAAAAAAAAAAAAAAAAAGGTAGAAAAGATGTTCCTGCCTTTGGAGTATGACACAAACCTAGAATTTCCATCTCCAAACAATGGGCTGCATCATCATCATAATACTTTGTTATTTGGAAAAGTGAATTGGAAGCAAAACTGGTGGAACCTGGTAGCTCCCATGCCAGTGGCTCCAACCTCAACTTTTCAGGAGCTCTCCATGGTGGTGAAGCCAGTGCCAAAAAGAGGTTCAGCACCATGAACTTCCTTTGAAGTCTGGACTGAAACTCGGAGTGGATACGCTACCTCACTGACATGGAAGTCACCAGCCACTGCTGAATAAAAGAAAGGAGGAGAAATTTTAGTGGGAGTCCAGAGTCCAGACCCTCTTGGCTGCCCTAAATCTAAATCTGTACTGGGAGGTTTGGGTTCATGGTGCACACAGTGTTAGTTACACATTGGAAGCTTTCACCTGGTAAGTGGCAGATTTTATTCCTCTACATGTTGAATAATGGCAGTAATGCCTACTTCCAAGTATTTTGAAACTGGAAGACCATGCCCAGCTGGCTGAGGTTGAAACACAGCTTAAGTTGCAGTTCCTTCTTGTTGACTTCTCATGCTGACTTGTCACAAGGAGATACATGTATGTGTTTTGATAGGCTGATCAAGAACAGAACGTGCTTTAATAATAATAGAATTCATGTCTGGTCTCTTCAGTTATTTAACCAGCTCTTGGATATTTTCCTTTTCATAGAGATCAACAGGGATTATTTGTGTGTACACGTGTGTGTGTGCATGCGTATTTGGCACAGCTGCAGTCCTGGGCACAATGTGTTGTGAAAATTAGTTTACTTCCACTTAAAATCACACTCTGAGGCTACTGCAGACATGGAGTTGGGAAAAATCTTTACACAAACTTGCTGTCACTGTGAATATACCGTGTTTAAAAATAGTTTGTCATTTCCAAGAGTTCAAAACAGGAATAGTTGTTAGCAAAAGCTGGCTTGAGAAAGGCTAAGTCTGCAATTAAAACGATCAAGCGGCTGGAGCAACTGCTGTACCAGGAAAGGTTAGAACCTCTGGGATTGTTTAACTTAGAAAAACGGTGAGCAAAGGGGGACATGACAGAAGTGTTCAGAACTACACAAGGCACAAAAACGTGGATAGCGGAGCTTTTCCCTCCCCTTTTTATAATGCTGGAGCCCAGAGTAGCCTCACAAAACAGAATGGTGGAGGAATCAAGACAGATAAAAGGTCTTCACACAGTGATGGGATACTCTAAGAGATAATTATGGTCAACTTGGGTGGCTTGAAAAGAACAGGCAAGTCCATGGAGGATAGGACTGTAACATGAACTGGCTTTTGAAGCTCTAGAGGGCAAAGGAAGGGTTAATACTGTAAATGACAAAATGTTGGAAAAACCAGGTGGCAGCCGAGTTGGAAGCTGGTGCCCAAGGTCTCCTGGAGGCACCATCCTCCCTTTGTGATGAGGGGTGAGAACGATCAGAAAATATGGCCTCAAGGATGCCAGAGATCACAGCCATGACTGGCTAAAGACTGGCACCGGGAGTAAATGGCTGGCCCCAGGAATTGGGAGAAGGGCCATCTCCCCACAGGTCAGCTGACCTGCGCAGGGGGTGCATAAAGCCCAGGAACAGAGCAGCCTCTTGTTCCCCCCTTGGGATGTTCTGACAGTGTTCTGACATTGCTGTGTTGCCCTGCGTATCTTGTGCCTGTGGAAGGCAGACTCTCTCCATGTATAGCTGAGGCTAGGATTTAGCTTTGTTGTTTTCTGTCTGAGTGGGCCAATGAAACTCCAGGAGGCAGAGCTTCTTGGTTGGCCGTACAGAGTATTGTTACTGCTGTCCAATTTCCCCTTCCCTCTCCCTCTTTTACCTGGTTTTATCCTTTTAGCCTCTGTGCTTTAGTCCCTCCACCCCTATATTTTATCGTTTCAACAAACTTGTTTTGTTCCCCAAGCTTGGGCTTGTCCTATGCTGAATCCAGTCCAGAACCCAGCCCAGGGTTCTGAGATCAGGAAGATTCTGGGCCCAGGAGGCTGCAGGGGTGGGCAGTCCAGGGTTGATGGGTTTCCATTGCAATGGCTCTCCAAGGCTTTGCTTCATAATGGCTACTTATTACCTCTTGTATTGGTAGCAAGCATTATGCTCCTCAGTAGCCATTGAAGAGGCACATCGGCAGGGGGGCAGCATTGCTCTTGTACCCCCCTTGCGTGTTTCGTAGAGGCACCTGGTTGGCCCCTGAGTGAACACAGTGCTTGTCTAAATAGGTCACGGAAGGGGAACGTCAGGCTGAAGGACCAAGTTTGTCCTTCTGGAGATTCTCTGTTTGTTTACTGGCAAGAAGAATATTAAACTACAATTAAAAAATAACCCGCCCCCGCACCTTTGATTTTGCCCACCATAGGGGTGCTGGTGCAGCCCCTGAGAAGAGAGTTTCTTTAAAACCCAGGCTGAAAGAATCTCCCAACTCCTGAGTCAGGCTTTTGGCCTGATCCAGCATGGCTTTTTGTTTATTAATCCTGTGAATGCTCACCCAGAGGTAGGGGCTGAGAAATCTGTGTGTTTCACTATCTATAATATTCACATTTTCTCATGCATAAATCAGTTTTAACCCATTTTTCCATCAGTTTGCATTCTTAAACATGGAAAATTTGTATGCATTTTCATGCCCATGAAAACCTATGTGGATTTTATACACAATTTCCTCTAACACACACATGTACACACACATTGTTAAGCTTTTCCACATAAAGCATATACATTTTCTCTCTGTTGTATAAATTTTCCTTTGGTGAACTATACTGCACAATTTGGAGAACTGCGGAACCTGAAAATTAACAGTGCTTTAGCAGACGTAGTAGTTTAGGAAATGAAAAGTAGGTCAGTACATATTAAATTGTGAACCAAGCCAGTTTTGTCCCTCATTTTTTCCAGGAGTCAACTGCACTAAACTCAGTGGGGTTTACTTCTGAGTAAACATGGTATCTGGCCACAAGGGACTTAACTCCGGGGTCCCTGGTGTGAATTCCATCTCTATTATGAATTTAGGTATCTGGTTTTGGGTAAGCAATTCTCTCTGATCTTCAGTCTCCACTTCTGTAATGGGGGTGGGGGAGGAACAAACTACTGACTTATCTCACTGGGGTTTCATAAGCAGTACAACTTAATAGTCCATGTTAACTGCTTTGAACATTTTCAAGTGTCGCACAACTGTTGTTGGTGAGATTAGCTTGAGATAAAAGAAAACCCCAGTCAGCAAGGACATTAAGTAAAACAATATCATTTTAGAACTAAAGATTCAGACATTTAGAAACACAGAAACATAGAAACAGAGCGAGTCAGAAGGGGTCTCCCAGGCCATCTAGTCTGACCCCCCGGCTCCAGCCAGCTCCACTAATGACATGTCTGCCTTGTATTTCTGTGTAAGTTTTGAGTTACACAGCGCTCTTCCTCTGATAGGAAAAGAATGAACCTAAGTTTAGAAGATGCAATGTTCTGACCTGTCTGACATTTAGCTTCAAAATATTAATGGGGAAAACCTCAAGAGACTTATTAGATTAATCATTGGCTTTATGCAAAATGAAGCGGTGGTGTGCTAGGACAGAGTAGTAATGCAGGCTCTCTTCTGGATAATCCAAAACCCAGGAATCTTCTGAATCTGTTCCTGGTACTAACTGGAATTCACAGATGTCATGTCAGATGGAAAAGAGAAGCAAAGAGACACACCACATTTGTGAGATGATTAACTATGATATGGACAGACTGTCCAATATGGTGGCCCATGACCCTCTGAGCTTGGAAGATTATGGGCGTCCAGTGGAAAGTGTGGGGTGAGAATGGCCTCCATGCCCCTCCTGCCCTCCTAAGCACTTAGGGAGGCAATTTTGGCTGTCTGACTGTTTTAACTCTGCCCATGAAATGAAGGGGCTGAACTAAGGGTGGGATTCCTCATCTCCCACTGTTCCCTTGCTCTTTCTCTCCATGCTTTCTGGAGTGCCCCCGTGCCTTCATAGCAGCTCGGCAGTTACACTGGTGACTTCAGAGCTTCAGAGGGAGGCAAGCTGTGCAGGCGGGGGGGGGGGGGGGGGTGCCCCAGTTCTGACTTCACAGAACTTTGATCTTGCAGCCACCGGACTGTGCCTGTATGATGTTCAGCTTTCTTCATTTGTGTCCTGCAAATGTACATTCTCGGATTGCTATGATGCCACATTATTTTATTTACAAGGAAAGTAATTCATTAAAAACATTCAAATGCACTTAAAAAATCTACTTAAAATCATGGGGGATGCTGTGATAATTAAATGTCATGCTGGTACACCACGCAAAACTGGATGAAGGCTAGGACGAAAATGTGATATAAACAAACAAACAGACTTCCTCAGTGATAAGAAGACATTTACAACTCGTATTCAAGTACGCAATAGGCATCATTCTACATAAAAATCCTTTGAAATGGCTGCTCACTTTAATGGGCTTTTCAGGTGAAGCTGTACTGAACCACAATAAAAGCAGGAACCCCGCTGAGCACATATAAGCCACGAGCAGCAAGGTTTAATTATTTGCCAAGAAAATGCAGCGAGCTTGGTAATGGGCGTTATTCAGCATGATCCACGGGGAAGGAATATCCTGCGGTGGAGACAGTTTCCTTCATTTGGGGACAGGAGTTGTGGGTGGCAAGAACCTTCCGGGCTCCATTCTAGGGGTGCTGAGGAGCAGAGATGGGGTGAGAGCACTCTGCTGGGAAAAGATTCCTGGCTCCCACAAAGTGAGCATATGTTTGGGCATCAGTGGCCTGTGACACTTTGGCTTGCTCTACTGTCCTAGAGTTTGCGCTGCACAACTTCGGTCCACCTTCTGGTGCAACCATTCCAAGGCAACGTGCTCAAATCAGTCTGAAGGCCTCTTGGCCTCCTTCATCACAACAGGTGACGAGCCCTTAGGACCGGCTAGGTTGGCTGCTCAGCCTCACCGCATCTTGCCACAGATCTCACCCTCAAAGAACAATCCACTGCACTCATTCACCAGGTTCATGTTTGCTGCTACTCTTGTAGTGAAGGGCAAGATTTGCCCCTTCTCAGTGCTTTTTTGGTAAGAAAAAAGGTGCTGGAACTCATGAAATTATTTACCTTTTGCACATAGTCAATCACTGTACTCACGCACACACATCAGTTGTATAACGAAACGTAACAGTCACCGTCCGCGGAAAGCACTCAGCGTGCGACCACACAACCAATCACAAGCCGAGCAGTGCCACAAGCTGAGCAGCACCATCACAACCAGCGCGGACGAAGTGCGCATGCATCGGATTCGACACAGAAGCAACCCGCATGCACCGTTTTAATTATTTTGCTGCCTACCTGCTACGCTTGACAGGGCAATTCAAATCCATGTGGACCAAGTATCAAATTTTCAAAAGTTACTTTTAAAACTTGGAAAATCTGTTGAAAAAAGGTGCTGGAACTCTGTTCCGGTGCATTCTATCACAAAAAAAGCACTGCCCCTTCTCCTTTTGAACAAGTGTTGAACTACTGGGAGATCAGGTAGAATGGACGATATTCCACTTTTCAAGAGCATAATGTTCTGATTCCTCCAAGAAAAAAGTTAAGGAGAAACCTTTTTGATGTAAAGCATTGGTTTAAATCAAAGTGATGCATTGGTTTGATGATTTAAATTGAATGCAGCATAACTGCATCTGAAATAATATGATAAGCCTGTAATCAGATATTTGCTCTAGATTACACCTCTTGCAATGTGAAGACCCCTGCGTGTTTTTTGTTTGTGGGATTATTTTCAATGAATAAAACTTGTGGATGTTATCTTTTCATTATAATAATAAGCAAGACAATAATAGGTAGTGATAAAACAAACAGTTTGTAAGGAAAAAAAGACAAAGATTCACTTTGTTAATCATGATTAGTACAAAGTAGTTCATCAGCCCCCTTTAAAGGCATGATATCAGCTGCTGTTGAAATGCTTCCTTACTTTTGCACCAGCAATAAAAAGGATTGTGAAATTGCCATTCAGAATACTAGCAAGAACCATAAAGCACACCATCTACATAACATTGAAACATCATACAATTCTTGTACTAGTTGCATTGACTACTAATATTTGTGGGCCCAATTCACAATGATGATGATAACTTTTAAAGTCCTACTGATATGGGACCAAGCTATCTGAAAACTAAGGTCTGCTCTGGAGGTCCTGCCCATGTGCCCACCAGTGAGGATGAAGAGCATGGGGAACAGGGAATTCTTGAAGGTGGTCTCACATTTGCGGAACTCCTTTCCAATTGCCATGCTTGGCCTCTCTACACTGAAGCTTAGGAAGTTATGTATTCAGTGCTGCCTTCCTTTAAAAATGTCTGGCTTGTGTAATTTAGACTGCCCTCCATTCATGGAGGCTCCTGAATTGAGAGGCTTCCAAGATTCCCAAGCTTTGTTGGGCAGAATCCAGCAGAGTTGGAAAGGCAGGAGAGACATTCTTCGTCAATGTGTTCAGCCCATTCATTGAGGGTATATCAGAGAGGGATGAAAGGAGGCTGGAGGAGGCTCAGGGTAAATATTATCCTGGCTTTTCTATTCTTTTCACTTCTTTGCCTCCTGAAACACACCTCTCTGTGCCATCTGTTCAAATGTTGGATCATTAGGACCTGTGTCCATGGCATTATAAGAGATGTACATTTGTCCTTAGAGTGCTATGATATTAGTCTTTTAGATGTCAAAGGGACACAGAAAACCAAGCATTTGCTTCCAGGAAGCAAGCAGATAATGTAAAAGAACATATGCATCAGTAAATACAAAAGTGTATTCCAATACAAAGTTTAGCCATGGTATAATCTCCCCAAAGAGACAACTATTCAACATTGACAAAACATATGATTAAAGGAAGCATTGACAAAACTATATCTCCAGCAGTTAGCTGACTTAGACAAACCCTTGATAATGAAATTTTGTGGCATCCAATAACCATGAAATAGAAGTTTTTGTCAAAGATGGTGGAACGTGAGAGCCACTGAAACATCAGATATGGATGCTAAAGGAACAGTGCTTTGCTTAGATTGAATAAGTACACTTTCCCTAAATGAATTCATTTGAGAGTACACTATTTTGCCATTGTATACCTTTTTGGCAAGGTACTTTTGCTAGGATAATGCATTCCTGTGCGATATTTTAACTATTTTGCAATTTGTGTGCACACTTTCATGTAACATATGGATCATTGTGTGGACGTTTCTCAGGTGTGTGCATTCTTGTGCATATTTTCATGTAATGCTGCATTTGGGGACATGCATATTTTTGTGCGCAGTGCCGTTCCTATTTGCTCATTGGTTTGATGGGGCAAATGTGGTAAATTCCCTGAAAAGTTCGGAATTCATCACCCATCCCTGGATCTCACTCAACTCTGGAAAACTGCTGACTCTCAGCTGCCTTCCCATTGTGAGCAATTCATGCACTGGACTTGTCTCCAAGCTCTCAACGATGATGATACCAGAGGCACAATATTCATGTCATTGGAGCTGGCGCTCATCCCTCCCACTTGGAGTTGTTTCTTTAGGCAGAAAAGAGGTCTCCATCAGCGGCAGGCCCTGCTTGTCCCAGGGAATAGATGCCAGGATTTCTGTCGTCAATTAATGCCTTTCATTCTAACAAATGAGCTGGTGAAAATAACAAGCGTTCATTAACAGGTACAGCAGGCGCAAAGTGATCATCATAGTGACGGAGGAAGAGATACGCATCAGGTGCAAGGGAGGAAATAAATGATGAACCCTCACTAACGATTAATCAAAACATTATAGCTGCAAGACGGGGCTCTCTTTTTGTAAGCAACTGTCAGAAATGCAGATCTTTGACACAAGGTAGTGATGCGAATAATGTGAGATTTCTGCCCCTTGAGTAGACCTTAATATTTCATTCAGAACATGCAGTTTAATGAGAAATTTCAAAAATATGGGTAACTTTGTCACTGGAAGTAGGAATGTACAAACATAGCATTCGGAAGTCATTCCGCATATAAATTGCCATGCTGTTCTGGACAGACTATACCTGTATGTACCTGATGATCTTGTTCTCAGGTTCTGACCCATATCAACAGAACAGCTTTCTTCAATGCAGTGCCCTTCAAATGTTCTGCAGTACAACCCTGACAAACCCCAGCCAGCCTGGTCAATGTTCTAGCGCTATGGAAGCTCTGCATGGCTGGGGAAGGCTGGACCAGGGGACACTTTTATCAGTGAGTGAAGCACGTGTGATGTGGACTAATCCATTTGGTCAAAATAGAAATGCTGCCCGAACAGCATAGAGGCATCCTAACTTAAGGTGTTTTTTTTGCATCTCAGCATCAGGTTTTGTCTCCTGGAATGGCAAATGTTGGAAGTCACTTTCTAAGGATAGCATGCTTATGTTTTTTCCTATCTCTGTGTATGCAACAGGGCAAGCCAGCACCACCTTTAGGACAAAATGAGCAGCAACCCCCATCGCTGTTGCTTTCGAACCCTGTGGGCATCACCCTGCGTGCTTCGTAGCACCCCCCGTGCCTGCTCAGGTACGCTGCTGTCGCCTGGTCAAGTGGAGGACGCTACCTTCTTGCAGGTAGCTTCTGCAATTGGAATGGGGTATTGATCTGTCACTGAAAGGGTTAAATAATTTTGCTACCGGGAGACTGAAGAGGCTGCTTCAAATTGCCGGTGCCTGGAACAGTAGGATGGTCTGAATGATTGTGTTGGGAAGACAGACAAGAAGACCCTCTTGAGGATCTCTGAGTGGGATGGCGTAACATCCTGTCCTGCAACAGCAGGGGGTGTACCTGATGGCCTTCACGGCCCCTTCCAGCTCTACTCTTCTATGATTCTATATTTAAGATGACTGCAGATCTATTTTCCAGACCTGATTCATGGGCAGGAAGACCCTGGGCTTGTGATTTTATGCCAGGCAATGCTACAGCACAATGCCTCTAACTGAGACAGCAGAGAGTGGGCTTCAAGAAGAAAGAGGGGAAAGCGGCTTTTACAAATGGCTTTCTGCAACACACGGTGGGGTCATGGCAAACCCCGTCTTGCAGAGCTGCCAGTCAGTTCAAGACAGCTGAATGCCAGGCAGCAAGGCAAGCCTTCAGCGAAGCTGTCCAACAGTCCCAGATTAGTCTGGTACTGGCAGTGCTGGAGTTATTCCCAAAATGCAGGGGAATAAACAGTGAGATCTGGGGGGAACCAACACCACAGCTTTGATTGTGGAATGGGTGGATTGTGGAATCTCACCCCCATGGTCCCCAGTTTTTAACTGGAAGATTGTTTCATTACTCATCGTGGACCCCCCCAGAGAAATGCGGGTAGAATTCAGGTAGAAAATGCTCAGTTTCATTTCCCTGCATAGATTTGGGAAACTGTGGCCTATATGAGACTCTAAGGACAAAACCCTACATGTGTTCAGAAACAAGCAAGCAAATAATTCCACAATGCTCAGCATTCCTCAACCAGCTGACTTTAGACTGTAACCTGCAAAGAATTTTAACCCCTTGCTTTCTGAAGATAGAATATCTTCTGAACTTGGTCATTGCCTCATTTCTGAAGATGAGACTTGAAATCATTACCAAACTTGAACTTATCTCTGAGCCAAAATTCATTCTTCCCTCCCTCCCTCCCTCCCTTACAAAGAGCTCAAGGCAACTCTTCCTGGTGCTTTTGGTCTTATCCTCCCAACAGCAACCCTGTGAGGTAGGTCAGGCTGAGAGTTTGGGGCTGACCCAAAGTCACCCAATTGGCTCCATGGCTATGTGGAAGGTAGAACCCAGATCACCAGAGTCCCAGTCCTGTGAACTTAACCACTACATCACTTTTTAATGCCAAGTTCCATTGAACCTTTAACTGCCATGGTGTTTTAGGTTCTGGAATGAACCATCAAGTCTAGATTTAAGACCTGATACCTGATGCGGCAATTCTAACACACTTTCAGATTTAACCCTTGAGGGGAACAATATTATGATCTGCACTCCCGAGAGATCTCTCCTATGCTTTGTCTGCAAGAGGCAGGAAGCGTGAGGGGGGGAAACAGCACTTTCATCTTCAATCCTCCATGTAAGTGCAAAAGCCAGCTACGTGGATGCAGCTGACTTACCTTTTGGAGGCTGGGGAGAACACTGGATAGCCTGTAAAATACCATGCATCATGGCTTTCCCCCTCCCCTCCCCCCCACCAGAACGCCCCCTTTTCTACCTCTCCAGCTTCTCTTATGACATCACAGCTGTGACCTCATAGGAGAAACATCGAAACAGTGCAAGTCAGAAGGGGTCTTCCAGGCCATCTAGTCTG